TGGACATAGCACTGGACAATTTGGAAATGTCCAGTGTCCAGTGAAAAAGCACTGGATATATAGCTTACCCAACCTTGTTTGTGACCAATGCTCAAAACTCATATGCATTGTAAGTTCTGAATTGTGATTGGCTAAAAGAGCAAGAATAAAAATTTATGCAAAAATTGCACAAAATTTTACACTACTATACTAGATGTAAAAAATACGTAAACTGGGGTGTAGGGTTAAGGCTAATTGTTTGTGATTTTTCTGAATAAACGTTAAGCCTTAGCCTGCTAAGTTGTATAATAATAAGTTGGCTAGGTTATAATAGCCGTTCAACTAAGCCAACGTAAACACCACGTGCAAAATGTACTTTAAGCCATATTTTGTTAAAGAATTAGATTGCGTACGAAGCATGAAGTTTTTTCTCAAAAATGAGTAACGAAGGTGAACCATTGCAAGCGTCGAAATCAGAAGATGACATAAAAATTGAAATATCTAAATCAACTAAACTAACTAACCCAACTAAGCTACATAATGGCAGGAAAATAGATGAGCTTTTACTATCGCCAAATAGCAGGTGTGCAGCGACGTGGAGCAAAGATGATGGGTCAATTTGCGTATGGCAACTTGATCAACCTGTGGAGCAATCAGTAGAACAGTTTACAAAGCAATCAGTAAAGCAATCAGAAAACGAATTTAATCAACCTAAACCTTTCGAATTTTATCGTTTTATAAATGGTAAAGACTTTTGCGAGTATAGCTCCCCAAGTTTACGTGCAGTTTCAAATAACAAACTAATTGCAATAAGATCGTTCCTGGAAGGTTATTATATAATAGGTTAGTGATAAGTAGTAAAATAATTGACAACATTCACAATATTAAAAAATAATTTTCTTTTTAAAGAAGTCATTAATCTTGACCTTGAAACACCGAAGAAAATAGAACTAAAATTAAATCCACTTGCACATCGATATTCAATGATTGAATGTAAATTTTATAACAACGGAGACTTCTTAATAGTTGCATCTGGTAGTTTTGGATATTTTGGATGTAATATTTTTAAATTTTCAAATGAAAATTTAAACGAACAAGGCTGGAAGATTAACAAGTCAATTTACTGTGGAGCATATGAAGATGTTAACGAGTGTATTATAAGCGATAAAGAAAAATTAATGCTTTATGGTAGATGTTGTTCATTAACGCAATGGAATTTAAATACATTGTCACTTGAAAAACAATATCAATTAGGCAATTTTGGGAATGTAAAATTTGTCACTTTTAATAAAGACTCTACACTTCTTGCAGTAAGTCAGTATTATCGGGATTTACAAATTTACTTGACCGAAAATTCGCTGCTCTTATCAGAATGTAAGTTTTTCAATTTGTATCTCGAAGTTTGTGAAAAAGTGTTAGATTTTCAAAATTGAAATCTAATCATCTTTTTGCAAGCGAAGCGAGTTTATTAAGTTATACCGGTGGTGTTTACATTATATTCATAATAAAAACCTAATTATAGAATTAGTAATTGGGGCATTAATTAATAAGTTCAGCGCTCATAAACCCTTACATAACTCCAATATTAATCCTAAATTAAGGGTAGTGATAAAATTCTATAAAATACATATGGCGTTAAACACCGCTGGTGACCGAAATTGACAGGGCGTAGGATCGATTTTCCGGTCACGTGATAGCTCCGGAAAACTTAGAATTTTTGTTTACGTTAAGGTTTTGGTTTGATGGAAGTTCATTTTAGAGTTACAAAGGCTGTTCTAATAGTAAAATCACGCAAGGAAAATTTTTACTTAGAGCACAGAAGGTGGTTAATTAGGTTAAATTCTGAGATATTCACGATTTCTTCAGAAAGATCGTTTGTTTTGATTTTTTTTACGTTACACCTGATCTTGACTTCTCATTGGCTAATTTTAGGTCGAAAATCATGTGACCGGAAAATCGATCCTACGCCCTGGCGTTGTTCTGGTGACCTACTATAATTTTATAACCTATAATTATAATTAATGAATAGGCAAAATTCAACGTTATTTACAAAGGTTAGAATTTATTTCATCTGATGATTTAGAAGGTGTGCTTTTAATTTTTGAGGATAATAGTCTTGAAATAAGGGATCCTTACAATCTTCATAATATTATTGATGGTTCGAATATTTATGAAGAGTTACTAAAACCATCAAATGAAGAAACTTTGCGAAAAGCAGAATTTAAAACAATGTTTAAAGAAATAATTGATGAAAAAATATACTACATATCAGATGAATGCTTATGGGTTCAGGAAGTTTTTGAAAAACAATGGATCACATATTTACAAGAAATGTTGAAAGGTTATAATAAAACGAAGCTCTTGCCTAGCAAATCTCAGCTACAAAAAATTCTGAAAAGGTTTATAAGTGATAAAGAAGACAATTATATGAAACAATCACATTCATATGAAGGATCATTAGTGAAGTGGGAAGTACATGGCAATGAAAGAGAAATAGAAGCATTTTTGAAATCTGACTCAAATGTAAATTGTTAAGAATTCGTAGATAATATAAAATCAGATGATATGTTTGCATTAATTTATGGTTGTGATTTAGTGCATAATGATTTGGTAATTGTAACCGTATCTATTAAGGGTAGATAGGTTTAGGACGATCTCTTCTAGGAAAACTAAGTAACTTTGGATTTTATTTCTATATTTCTTTTATTACCAACGAAAAGCTTTTCTCTCTTTTTACATATTTATCGCATATTATAATACAATTACTTAATTATGACCTCAATTGCACGTATAGCTATTACAATTCCCTCATGACTAAGTGTTCAATCATGCTAACGTGGTTCCGATCTTACATCACGTTTCCCATGATGTACGATCATTCCTCGAATCTCTGACATGTTCATTACACAACACGTGCATTGTGCGATATGGATCAATGGTTTCCTTACACTCTCCCCCGTTTAAAACAGGTTCACCCCTTTTTTCGAACTCTTTCACCAGATCTTTATAATTTTCAAGTTTATTTAGGAGTTCCCAGGTCGCATCATATAATGGGTGCCCTTTCCATTTCACCAAGTATTGTGGGCGACGATAGTATGTTCTTTTGTCCAATATGGCTTCAACTTCGTTTTCTTCTGGATTTTCAGTTGCGATTGTTGGAGTTGTTTTTCTTACATTATCTTCAGTTTCACTAGGATAATAGGGTTTTAACAATGATATATGGAAAACTGGG